CTGAGAAACCTATTGGACCTTAATCGTATGACTTAATTGACTCGAGCTACTTTCGACGAGCAGGAATCTTTTTCGCAACCTGCCACCTACGTAAATCCATTTGCATTTCCGCAAGTAGGAGCGTTGAGCTGCGAAAATCACTGCTAAATGCGCGATCGCAGCTGGGCGGAAAATTGCACGCGGAAAACGCAAGGTGGACGACTTTCGGACGAAATGAGATTCGAATTAGGTCGGCGAATAACTCGCTCCGAAGGTTTTCGAGTTTCACTTAGCGTCTCTCAAGAGTCCCGCTCGAGTTGCGCTCAGCGTTGCGCCAGATTCGCGCTTTTGCAAAATTATATCACGCCTGGCTTATGTCATAAGAAATCAACGAATCAACGAATCCGTACAAATTCCCCTAAGTTATGTATGCACAAAAAGTTTCAGTCTGCCCGACATCTAAGAAAAGAACAACTGATCTAGTTTCAGTGACGTTTATTTCACTGTATAGAATGTCATCGATACGAACATTTTATACTAAAAACCCAAATCATTACATGTGTCGAACATTACAATGGGCAGATTTACCGACTCGCAAGTGAAGGGGATTGCAAGGAAAATTGTTTTATTTAACCGAGCGTGAATTATGGAAAGTGGGATGCGTTGCCCCTAATTGCAAATGCACCGATATCTATCACAGCCTCGCACTCTTATTTGCGCAATCCTTCGAGATATTTAATTCCTTCTTTCACTTTGGAGTGAAAAATGTGAACCGCACCACCCCACGCGTCATTTGATGCACATTGCACTCCGACTGTCACGTCTAGTCCCCTGCAGGACGACAGTAGCTTTGAACGGCCTTATCTTCATCGGATGAACTCGTTCGCGTGATCAACCGCAAGGACGCGCATTGTCAGGGTGACAGATCCGCGAAAATTGCGACATTTCAAGCAGAAGATGTTCCTAGCGACGGTGACGTCACGAGACTGACGGCATGTCGCGGAACCTCGCCATGTCGGCATCGCGCTTGCGTTCTCCGGCCGGAGATATTCGGTCTTCTGGATACTGCGGAACTCGTAAACCGAGTTGTAACTATTTCCACAGGTAACTATTTCACTTCGGTTCTATAAATTCGTTCTACGGTATCACTTACATCGAGAAGAATGTTTTTAAAATAAATGTTCCTTATAAACAATCATACCCGGAATAAACCTGTAACGAAAATTCGCCTTAACCCTTTTAGTGCCGGGCGAAAAAGAGGTGCTTATGCGAAGATAACCGGCCGAATTTTACGATTTTACTAGGATTTGGAAAAAAGCTCATAAAAACCAAACGAAAAGCAATATTTACATAATTCAAAACGCAGGGTATTAAGGACAAAATAGAGAATAAAACGGTGACGCTAATTTTTCTATATTCATTGAAAATTACATAAATAATAAAGGTATAAGTGATAAAAAATAAAGAAAAATTGAGTTCTCTGTTTCAAAAGGTAATTGCACATAGGAAAAGTCATCTTTTTTTTTTTCGTAAATTTATATAGGCCGTTTATTGCAAAGTATATATTTTAAATTTCCAATATATTTTTTAACAAAATAAGTAATATTGCACAAGAAACATAAAAAATAACTCCAAGGCACGTGGTAGGCGCCGGACGGATTATCTCATCCGAAACAAGTAATTGTTATAGGTTATAGGTTGTTATAGGTGTTGTTGTATTGTTATTTTAATTCTCTCGTAATGAAATTAGACTATTTATAACGTATTATAAATTTATTTTGAGATAGAGATCTCTCGCAAAGCGAATAGTAAATCGCTACAAGGTGCGGGCCGATATATCAGCTCTGGCACTAAAAAGGTTAAATGGGCAGTTTGTACCTCGTCGATATCACCTTCCGATTAATGATAATATATCCGGAATATGTCATAGTATATTATATAACGAGGGAGGAAAGTAGGCGATTGCGCGGGAAGGTGAGTTTCAACACACGAATCGTAATCTCATACTGAACTCCCGAGATACATATACTATTTTTTATCCTCCCTGCAATCCGAAAGTTCGGATTTAAATGGCTGTCGAGTGATGGCACGGCCTCGCGATATCGTGGTGAAACCGAAAAATGGAAATGTTTCTGAAATATAACGTGTGACGTCCCCAGTAGCACAAAATGTTTGTCCTATATTTTCTATATATTTAACGAATATCGTACATTTTGTAAATATTTAGCAGACATTTGAAATATTTGCAAAACGTTTACTTTAGAATATTATCTCTATAATATTTATATAATATTAGCTCCATGTGTTTTCATAATATTTTTCTACCAGATATACAAAACATTTCGTTTCATTTTAATACAAGTATTTTTTAAATATTATCTGCCGAATACATTATAAACGTTTTAAAAATATTTAAAATCAAAATCACACGTTTTGCTCCCATAATGAAATAGCGGAACGAAAATATTAGAAAAATTTCTCGTGTTTTTTGATACCAAATGAAGTGTCCGATAATAGTCGTGAAGTAAAAAATGTATTTTTATTATGTTAATAAGTTAAAAAATATAATTTCTCTATATGTTTATAAATTATTGAAACTAAATATGTCATTGAGATTTTCAAGAAATATTTCAAATATCTTCGAATGAAATCTACAAGAAATCTTAAAAAATCTGTCGCTTGAGATATTTAGCAAAGATTACAAAGAAATATTTAGAAATTATTATATGCTACTAGGGGTAGTTCATTTTATGCGGACAGAAAGTAACTACTTTCCTCTCTAGGGAGGTTAAGTGTGACGTAGCACGTCCATTTCGCCACGCTCGGCAGGCATTGAAAGTCAGACTTTCGGTGATAGAAGAATAAAAAAGGATTTTCGGTAGAGAGAGAATGAAAAAAGATTGTCTCTACTTTGAGCGGTGTTGTGCATTCAATATTTCACGTACCCCCGTCGATTTTAAAATACTCCAAAAGCATACTAAATGGAAGTACTTGACATCATTTGGCTCTTAAGGGAACTTCCGGTTCTCCTCCCAGAAATGTACTAATCAATGTTCATCTCAACTCCGGTCGAAGGAGCATTCCCAGAAAACGTCTCGGCAAGTGGAATGTTTTCGCAGAAGGATGAATATCGCACCGCCGGAACGGAGGATTCGCTTCCTAGCTGGTTCGTCGATTTATTGAAATTCCTGGTACAAGATCCGGAAGTGGGGCAGCTCCTCGAACGACTTCCTTGTCACGTAAGGACACTCCTTCCCACCTTTCCACAGGAACGGGATACGTCCTAGAGCTCTCCAGTTAGAAATTAAACATTCCTTGCTCGGGTCCCTGCTCCTGGAACTTTGCTCCAGAGGCTAAGACATCCTCGCACAGAAGATATCCGCTCTTCGCGATTTTCCACCCCCTCTCGGCATCGCTTGGATTTATTCCATGCAGGGAAATTCCGCATATTCGTTTGCACTCGACGAAGCCCCCAACTATGTCTAATATTACCCTTCCAAGGACCTGCTTTTAATCAGTTTAAGGTGATATGAAAGGGCGTCCGAAAGGTCTGGTTTATGAAGCCTTTCTTTGAATTGAGTGTACCTGTTTAAATTCGTATGTGAACATTTTTAAAATTTGTATAAGTAATGAAATTTCACGGGTGCCAGAAGCTTCATCCGTACCTCCATATTCAACGTGGTAAAATTTCAGACGATTCGAACTGCAAAGACGATGATCCCCTCGCATGATTTCGCCACAGGTATTGAGCTTCAATTGCCTTCTCTAAATATGTGCCTGACAATACATTTATTTTCTCATTCATAGCTCAAATTTGTCTATCTTCGACTCTTCCAAGTGTCAATTTAATCGCATTTAACAGGCACGATCATCCGTGAAAGACCCCAGCTACGTAAATGGCGATCAGTCTTACTACCTGGAAGTAATTACCGGAGGTCGACGATCTCCAACACCGAGGACGTAATTACCGAGATCGGCACAGTAGAAATGTCAGATGGGAGTTGGAAACAATCTTCGTGTCGCGTTGGATCGTGAACTGGGTCGTCGAGAAGTCGAATGCACGAAGGTCTTTGGCGTGCGAACAAATCACGGAAAAGGTCAGTGCATGTCGATCAAAGATTCGGTGCAATGACCTTCCGATGATCGAATTAAAAGGAAACTGAGCTTAAAAAGAAACGTGGAAAGAATCGTCAGCTCGGACCTGACAAATCCGACTCGCTGTTTAATCTAGACAAGGGTATTTAAAATGCAGCCTGTTAAATCCCGAAATGCTTAATCCATGAAAACACGAACTTATAATTTGCAGTTTCATTTACCGACGCATTTACTCGTTGATGAGGTCTTTTAAGTGACATTGAATTTTTAAACGGTACCAGAATAGGAGAAGCCCAGATCGTGGCCATCAATGTACCTGCTATCTTTGCAATTGTCGTCGATCCCGAGAAAAATGAGATGAAATCATTTAAGGATATGGAACATTTTTTTCAGTGTCAGCGTAAAATATCGTTAACTTCAATAGAGATATTTAGTCTTTGTGGAATTAAGTTAAACGCGATCTACATTCTACGGCTGCTCCAAAACTTAACCAGCTCTAACATCAACCCTAATCTGATTCCAAAGGGGTGCAAGCAGAAAATAGAGGCAACTCGAGGATAGAATCAGCAAATCCTCCACGACATCAAACCCCATGAGTCCACGTACAGCTCGCGAAGCAGGGATAGCAGGTAACTCCGAAGAAGGAGAAGAAGGTTTCACAATTCAACAATTTACTAAAGACAACCGGGCTTAATCTACCGAGCGATTGCCGTATAAGGTGCCGCAAACGAAAATAGAAGATCCATCAATTCCGCGTGTCAATAATTTATTTTATTCGCAGCGCACCGGAGCACCGAAGGAGAGCGCAGAAGTCGGTCTCTGCTTGCCCCAGATCCTGGTGCAAGGTGCCTCGTTGCGGGTTACGCATTGTTCGCAAGTGCTTGCGAATGTATATACAGATATACAGATAGATTTCAGACGCAATCTCAATGGTGGTAGCCACCCAGCTCGATCTCGTGGCCGCCGCCGTATCCGCCGCCGTATCCGCCGCCGTATCCGCCGCCATAGCCGCCGCCATAGCCACCGCCATAGCCGCCCTCATCGTGGCCCTGAACGAAAACGGGGTAGGATTCCTTGACGATGTAGGGCACCTTAACTGGATAGGGCACCTCCTTGTGGACCGCGACGGGGACCTTGACGGGCACGGTGACCGGGTAGGGAACCTTGACGGGGACCTTGTAGGGCACGTTGTAGGGCACGGGCACCTGCTTCTCCACGGGGTAGGGGATGTGCTTCTCCACCGGAACGGGGTAGGGTTTCGGTACGTGAACCGGGACGGGGTGGTCGACCGGGACCTTCACTGGAACGGCGACAGGGTAGGGCACGTGCTTCTCTACCGGGTAGGGAGCCGGGACTCCGACCTTGACTTCCTTGTGAATGGTGATGGACTTGATCTTGCCACCGTCATCGCCTCCACCGAAGCCGCCTCCTAAACCGCCTCCTAAACCGCCTCCATAGCCGCCTCCATAGCCGCCTCCGTAGCCGCCTCCATGGCCGCCTCCGAAACCTCCGAAATCACCGCCGTAGCCGCCACCGTAACTCAGTTCCAGACCTCGTTTGCTCTTCGCGTCCTTCACCTCGCTCTTGGGTTCCACGGCTTCCTTCTCGCCCGCGGACACCAGCGTGACCAATAGGCCAAGGAGAATGATGCTCTGCAAATGGAACGGAAACTGGGTCTTGATCATCCGTAACTCCGAGTCTAACATCCTTACGCTCAACGCGTGCTCCTTGTTTGGGAACCCGCCAAATAAGACTGGGAACTGGTTCGAGCCTTTCAACTTCGAGACTGAGATTACTGCCGGCAGTGATTGATCCCGTATCATCGACAAATAAGTTAACTTTCATCCGAAATTAAAAATTATACATTGCGCGAGATTGGGGGCCTTGCCATTTGGACATTGGCTGTTTGATGTTACAAGACGCGTTTGTATGGACTCGATAGAAACATCGGGCTGCATTGAACGGATGAGAATTGTTCCTCTTCGAAGAACCGATGAAAGTATCGGTGTTCGATGTCGATACGTTTGACAATGACTCGTTTAATCGAATGGCAATACCCCGATATTCGGGACTGATCGAACGCGCGGGTATCCGTATCCGGGTCTCGTTAGGAGCCGCCAAACAAATGAAATGGACAGCAATGAAGCGAAACGGTGTGTAAAGTGCCGTTCACCGTCCCCGTCTCCAGTCTAGCGACTCGCACGAGTTCCGTGGGACATTCGTCAGAGGCCGCGCGAATTGTTCCAGTTTCTCCTGGACCGGGTCAGCGATTATTCGCGACAAAAAGGCCACACGGGGTGCCGGCTTTCGGATTCGCGGCCGAAATTAACACTTTGTCGAGCAGAGACGCGTTTCGCAATTGCCGACCTCGTCCCGGCTCCGCGCTCTTGACACCCCGCGCGTGCTCGGAGGCGCATCCGCGAATCACCGTCCACCACCTATCGGGGGACTCACCCCCTATGACGCTCCGTTAGCCGCATGCCTCGTTATCAAACGGTTTATGAAATATCAATTTACGAGCTCCGCCGCTCTGTATCCGCTTTCTCTGTTCTACCGGAAAGCTGGTGCCCACAGGTGCGCAATTTGAGCCCCCGACCCTACCGCTGGTGTTTGACCACCCGGAGTGAAATTCCATTTCCATGGCCTCACGCCCTCCCACCATCTCTTCTTACATACTTTAGCGACTTTATCCCACATGAAAAGACGAAACAGAGGAGACAATGAAACTGAAAGCAAATACTTTGTAAATATACACCTACATAAATCCCTAACGCTACCTTGACCAGGGAGTTCGTAAAATCTGACTCGTTCACTTCTGAGTATCAGTGACGTCTTATACAAGCATGATGCCTCAATAGCGACCCATCGCAAAAGTATCGTAAAAATAGATGAGAAATAATTAACGGTAAATGTATATGCCTTGGTACTTGAAAACTATTTCATAGACCTTGGTACCGTTCCGATGTCGTATCTACCACCACCTTGCAACCCCGTTGAAGTCGATCGGCTCCACGCCCGATCGACTCAAGAGGGTTGTCCAAGATGGCGGCAGCCACCCCAATGCGACCCAACGCGTATCGAGTTTGTCGACCACCCTGACCCCAGGGATACTTTGCTACTCTTTCCCCGATCCCATGGGACCCCTTCTTGTAGGGAGGGATCGCTTTTTCGGCAGCGATCGAGCCTCGTTACCGACTAGGAACTGCCGAGCTCACCTGCGGGGTCCTCATGCTGGCCTGCGGAGGTGCACACTGAAGCGGCATCGAGCAATCACCTGCATATATACCTGCACTTTCGCCGGAACGGGCCCGCTCCCCGGAAAATCATACGTCGCCGCGGCGGATCAGCAACGAAACGTACCCTGAGTAGCGCTATGGTGATCGTCCTTTCCCACGGACCACCCCATGATCGAAGCTGCCCTTCTCGGGCCCACTCGGAAGTAAGGTGAAGTTTAACGACTAATTGCAGCTGGTCTCGATGCAACGCCGGTCATGGACCAGCCTGGAGATAGACGCAACGCTGCCTCGTGCTTCCGGTTATCACGGCCGCCTATCGGCAACGGGTACTTGGGTGTTACCGGGTACTCGGACATGTTACCTCCACCTGGGAGATAAATCATTACCGCGTTGTTGGCGTTACGGTGCAGGCCTCGCCCTGCACTTCCGGCTGGCCAACGTCACCTCAAAGTGTCCAGGTAAAGGTCCAGGACGCGATACTACCTATGTAGGTTACCTGACACGCGTTACCGGATGCTTAAGGGCCAGAAGTGGAGTAACAGTCAAGTTGCATTACCCTGGACGCGTTATCATGCCGCGAGCCTTGTCAAACGCTTCCGTTAATTCCCCGACGCACGCGGGAAAATTACGCGACGTCGAACTCGCGTGTTTTCAAGGGGTGCTATCGGGGATGTTTAAGGCTGGTTCTTTTAAGAATTATCGGAATTATCTTAGATGGTATTACGTTGTTTTCAATGATACCACGTGCGCGTATGGTCGAAATAGCAACGTTTAAAAATTCTTATCGCTGGTTCTGGTGACTTAAGAGGCTCCATAGGCTTTGGGACGGTTTAGTACAAATTTTAATAGTTTTCATTTGAGCGCTTTGTGAGTATTAACGTTGGGATGGAGATATGCTTTTCTAGGCATCTAGTTCAGTGCCGGGTATTGCCGCTGTTTCCGTACTCGGAACAAGTATACTTGCTGGGGAAAATTCTCCGGTGACAGTGATATACTGATAAAGGGAAAGTATTGGTGCTCGGGTCGGAAATTTGATTGCTATACATTGCAATTGCAGCCGGCGTGCTGCAGACGTAGGCAGACTTCCAATACGGCCGGATGTATTCTCTTTCCTCTGGTTACTAAGGATCATTTTTTTTTTTTTTACAGTTTTCTGTGTTGTACCTAATGATGGCATGTGCTCTACTTAGGAGGTATATGGTGGGATAGGAATCTTGGTTGCAGGGAATCGTTTTATCGGGCCTTGTATTTTATCCACCTGACCGTGATTACGCGCACGCAGTCAGTGATTAGTGATAACATGCCTCATGTTATAACGCGCCGCAGGGCTTTACCGCACACTTCCGGTAGGCGAGCTCAAGCTCTTGCGGCAAAACTGTAACCATGATGCTGCATTCCGTTTCCTTCGCGGAAGGAGCGGTCTTCTTTGAACTGGCCAACTGCCGATCGGCTTTACGTCACTCGATTTATTCCACTCGCGGTTAAATGTACCGCACCTGGTACAATGCGGCCACCACCTAAAGCGACAGCGGTCTCACGATACAATTGTAGTCCTGGTTCCACGGGTGTTAATTTAATTAATGTCTATGTTGCCAAGATTTTTAACACGTCCTTTCCAAATTCCAAGACCTGTTAAACAGCAGCAACACGACTGGTTTAATCGGCGAATCGAAAGCAAAGAATATTTATTATATGCAATAATGCAACGCAATTTAAAATACGTGAAATAAATATCTTTAAGAACATTTTACGAGGTTAGTTATTTTCTTTGGGGTGAATTCTGGTTTTATGATCTTTTTTTATTGAAATTCTATTGGTAATATAGGGGAGGAATCTTCTGGTGTTGCGGTATGGAGATTTTGTTTATGTTAAATATCCTAATGAAAGAATGTTTGTAGAAACTCTGCATTAGGTGGAGATATATTTTAGGCGCGTCTTTGTGCGCTGGACCACTCGGTGTACTTCTTTTGCCACATCTTCCTAAAATGTCCAAAGTATTGGCAATTACGAGAAACGCTAATTACATCCCAGGAAATCTGGCTTAGAATGTGTGGATTTCCTCATAATGCCAGTGTACAGAACAATGTGAAGATACTGGAGCATGAAGCGAGTGGTACCTGTGACGCAAGGAACATGCCTCCCAATTGAGGATTATAAATTTTCACCTACTTTATGTAACAAGATGTCCCTATACCGCACTCTTAAGAAACATCAACGGATATAGCCCGAAGGCCTCGAGATAATTGTTTCTAATTATACGGGGAAAGAAGACTTTCAAGATTTATTCCTATTTTCTCTCGGGGATTTTCCTATTTTCATAATGAAATTTCGTGGTAAAATATAATATGGGATTCTGACTTCCATATAGGAACCCCTTCCAGTCGATTTATCACAACCCCTGGACGCGGGGAAACATTTTCAATGAACCTCCGATAAAGGAATCTTCGATTTCCCCCGCCTCTCTCCTTAATTCGAACTTTCCGCGTTAGATCCCCGGTTTCGATTTCCTAATCCTTTTTTTCGCTTTCTCGGGACAGAACTCCTCCTTCGTAATCGCTTTTTTCCTTTCTCCGAGCGCAAGAATGATATCAGCCGGCTCGCATCTCTAAGCACACTTAATCCGCGTGAACCGGTAATTTTAGCCTCCACCCAATTAATGGGTTCAGGCCCGAAATTTCTCTCGTCAGGTCCGAAGCGGTTCCACGCGAACGGTCGTCGACTCGGTTCCTTTTACTTTTTTCCTCTTATTACACAAATCGTCCCTGCCGGTCAATTTGACGAGATTCCCTCCCGGCCACTTACACCCCCACCCGCTCGGCTCCGTAATACAACAATCTCAGGAGCTATATCGAAGCCTCAAATTTCTCCCCGCAATTTGCTCCAGAATTCTACTTTCCACGTCCGATCATCGACTTTCCATCGATTCCTCCGGCTTTTAGCGAATAATTCCACTGGCCGGCCGACTTTACGTAAGACGCGCTCCCTTGGCCGCGTCGTGTCGTTCCTGGAACGACGATCGTCGATTTCCCCGTTCGTCCTGTTCCCTCGTTCCCTTCGGGCCAGACCAGATTGCTTCGACGCGTTCGGGATAATTTCATCTCGCTCCGTCGGGGCCGTCGACTAATTTTCCCGGTCGCTCCTCCGCTTTTTCGAGCGGCCCTCCGACGAGCTTTTTTGGATTCCCCGCGAAAACTAATTAAGCCGCGAGAGCGAGCGCGTCGCGTGTCGAACTTTCTCCGTCCCGGCAACGCACCGTCGGCGTAATTGCCCGATTCTCGGCCAGTTGGCCTCCACGGCTTCGTTACGAAAGAAAGAACTCGGACCGAAATGGGTGTAAACGCGGAATCCGAGAAGAACTCGTCGAGCGCCCCTACGGGCAGCCGCGATCCGGGTGATTCATGGCAGCCGCGCGATCGGAACGCGACCCATCGATCACCCTTCGATTGCCGGCAACCCGTAATCCTTCGGAA